GGACCTAGGGGTGCAGACGGACACACGGACACAGACACACAGACTCAGACCCATGGACACAGGCACACGGACCCAGGACCACAGGTGCGGCAGGTGCACCTGGGGCCGAGATGCCGAGTGAACACGGACCCAGGGATGCAGACAGACACACGGACGCAGGCACAGGGACCCAAGGGTGCAGATGGACACAGGCACAGAGACCCAGGGGTGCAGATGGACACACGGACACAGGCATAGAGACCCAGGGGTGCAGATGGACACATGGGCTCAGGTACAGGCACAGGGACACAGACACACGGACGCAGGCACAGGGACCCACAGACAGACACACAGACACGGGGTGCAGACACACGGATGCAGACACAGACAGTTACACACCGGGGCTCGGCACAGCGGCCGGGGAGTGCAGCAGGATAAGCCCCCACCTGCGATGCTGCACCCCGCCTGGAGGTGCCAGTTCGAGTCCTTGCTACTCCGCTCCCATCCAGCCCCTGCTATGCCTGGGGGGAGCAGTGGTGGCCCAGGTTCATGGGCCCCTGCACCACATGGGAGACCCGATGCAGCGCCTGGCTCCAGGCTTTGGCCTGGCCCAGCCTGGACCACTGCAGCCACTCGGGGCGTGAAGCAGAGGGTGGACGCGCTCGCTCGCTCTCTCCCTCTCTGTCACTCTGCCTTTCGAATAAATAAATCCTTTTTGAAAAACAGGCTCTTTCACAACCTGTGGACACAGACAGACGCTGCACACACATGCGGGGGAAGTGGATGTCACCGTGCGACCCGTGATCTGTGACACAGAAAGGAAGCCTCTGTGACACGTGTCCTGTGCCTGCGTCCGCCTCGGCTCGCGTGCCAAACACCTGTCAGTGAGCGCTCTGGGCTCTTCCTGTGCCCGCACGGCCAGTCGCACAGCCGGCAAGGCCACCTCCAGACACAAGTTCCACACGCCAGTCCCTCTTCCTGGGGTCCCCCTCTGGAGGCGGGGTCAGAGGGAGCGGTCAGGCCGCCTGTGTCCGTGACTTGGTCGGCTCCCATCCGAGAGCTGTCTCAGGACCTTGCTGGAAGGAAACCAGGCACCGGGCCGGCTGTGCCGGAGCAGAGCCAGGGACAGGCTTGGGGGTCCCCTCCCCAGGGCCCCTCGCCCTTCCCTCGGCTGCCACTGGGCGGCCACCCGGACCTGCACTGGCCGGGGCGAGGCCCGGAAGTGGACCTCCCAGCCGTGCCTTCACCTCCCCGTGGCCGTGTCACACCCAGCCTGTGTCACCGGTGTCGCTAGGAGCACTCTCCATGCTGGAACCAACAGGTGTCTGTGGTCGGGAGAGGACAGTGGTCTGGGCCAGTTCTGTGCAGAGACGGCCAGGTGGGAAGGACGCACGCTGGCTGCCCCAGGGCCCTGCCCGCAGCGGCCCCTGCTCCAGGCTAGGGCTCCAAGTGTCACCTGCAGGCTCCGCCCACCCCAGGAGGCCCAAGCAGACCAGGAAACCTGAGCAGGCGCCCCAGCCACGCCCACCTGCGCTCCAGGGGGCGGGGCCTGCGAGGCGGGGAGTAAACAGCCTGTTCTGTCACCAGGGCCTCCCCGGTGTGGCCTCCGGGACTCCTCCCCCTTGGCCTGCCCCCACCTGCCCAGAGGCTGCCCAGCGGTCAGTGCTGTGGACCAGGGGCCCAGAGAGGTTTTCCAGGAGCACCTCCTCCCTGGGAGCCTGGGGCGGGTGCGTGGGGAGTGGGACCCAGCAAGGCCTCCCCCCAGGTCAGGACTGCTGCCCACCCCCCCCAGAGCAGACCAGAGGCCCCCCCGGGACAGGGGCTGGCACAGGGCTCCCTGCCGGGCGGCCAGGATCAGACCCGGCACCGGCTTCCCTGGGTAGAAAGGGCTCCAGGGCCAGGCCTGCCCTTGTGTCCAGCAGGGCCTTGGGCGGGGCCTGTCCGAGAAATGCTGCCCAGTGGACAGAGAGGGCCCAGGCCGGCCCATCTGCCTGCAGGGGCAGTGACACTGGGGGGCAGTGACGCTGGGGGTGTGGGGCCTTGGGGGGCAGTGACACTGGGGGTGTGGGGGCCTGGGGGGGCAGTGACACTGGGGGTGTGGGGCCCTGGGGGGCAGTGACACTAGGGGTGTGGGGCCCCTGGGGTGCAGTGACACTGGGGGTGTGGGGGCCCTGGGGGCAGTGACACTAGGGGTGTGGGGGCCCTGGGGGGCAGTGACACTGGGGGTGTGGGGGCCCTGGGGGCAGTGACACGCTGGGGGTGTGGGGGCCTGGGGGGGCAGTGACACTGGGGGTGTGGGGCCCTGGGGGCAGTGGTGCTCTGGGGGTGTGGGGCCCTGGGGGGCAGTGACACTGGGGGTGTGGGGGCCCTGGGGGCAGTGACACTGGGGGTGTGGGGCCCTGGGGGCAGTGGTGCTCTGGGGGTGTGGGGCCCTGGGGGGCAGTGACACTGGGGGTGTGGGGCCCTGTGAGGGACAGTGGTGCTCTGGGGGTGTGGGGCCCTGAGAGGGACAGTGGTGCTCTGGGGGTGTGGGGCCCTGGGGGGCAGTGGTGCTCTGGGGGTGTGGGGCCCTGGGGGGCAGTGACACTGGGGTATTGGGCCCTGGAGGGCAGTGGTGCTCTGGGGGTGTGGGGGCCCTGTGGGGGGCAGTGACACTAGGGGTGTGGGGGCCCTGTGGGGGGCAGTGACACTAGGGGTGTGGGGGCCCTGTGGGGGGCAGTGACACTGGGGGTGTGGGGGCCCTGGGGGGCAGTGACACTGGGGTGTGGGGCCCTGGGGGGCAGTGGTGCTCTGGGGGTGTGGGGGCCCTGTGGGGGGCAGTGACACTGGGGGTGTGGGGCCCTGGGGGGCAGTGGTGCTCTGGGGGTGTGGGGGCCCTGTGGGGGCAGTGACACTGGGGGTGTGGGGCCCTGGGGGGCAGTGACACTGGGGTTGTGGGGGCCCTGTGGGGGCAGTGACACTGGGGGTGTGGGGCCCTGTGGGGGGGCAGTGGTGCTCTGGGGGTGTGGGGCCCTGGGGGGGCAGTGACACTGGGGGTGTGGGGCCCTGGGGGGCAGTGGTGCTCTGGGGGTGTGGGGCCCTGTGGGGCAGTGACACTGGGGGTGTGGGGGCCCTGGGGGGCAGTGGTGCTCTGGGGGTGTGGGGGCCCCTGTGGGGGGCAGTGACACTAGTGGTGTGGGGGCCCCTAGGGGGGCAGTGGTGCTCTGGGGGTGTGGGGGCCCTGTGGGGGGCAGTGACACTAGGGGTGTGGGGGCCCTGTGGGGGGCAGTGTGCTCTGGGGGTGCAGGGCCCCTGCAGGAGGGGCCTGTGTCCACCCAGGGGAACCTGGCTCTCCCACACTCACCAGGAAGTGCCACAGGCTCTCAGCGGCTCTCCAAGCTCAAGGGGACCAGGCACAGCCTTGGTCCAGGGTCTCCCTCTGGAGCCCCCCACAGCCACCTCCATCCCACTGCACTGCCTTGCCTCGCCGTGGCCCGGCCGCGGTGCCCTGCCTGCCCTCCTGTGGGGACAGGGAGTCCAGCAGAGACGGGTGAATGGACAGTCTGCCTCCTGGGCGTGGCCCTGTTAGTGAACACTCGGGAAGTTCAACACAGCCCTGAAGCCAGGTTTTCCTGGGGAGGTGGGGGAGGGGGGACTGCATGTGCCAAGGCCCTGGGGCAGCAGGGGGGCCGTGAACCAGGGTGGGGACTTGGCTTTTCTCTGAGTGATGGGAACCTTTGGGGGGCTTGGAACTGATGGACAGATGGACGGACACACAGACTGGAGAGGAGCCCAGTGTGGAGAGGGCGTGGCTTGGGCCAGGAGTCACAGTGGAATCGAGGGCTCCACGTTGGGTGCTGGGACCGTGTTGGTGCAGCTGCCAGGGCCTGCAGACACAGAAATGTGGTGTTGGAGGGAGGGGCCCGAAGGAACCCCTGGAAAGACCCTGGCTGGGCAGGGGTGGGGAGGGGGAGTGCCTAGGGGGAGGGGCCTCGGAGCTCGCAAGAGAACCGGCTGAGGCTGCAGGCCGCAAGTGGGGGCAGCCAAGGTCCCGTCAGGAAGAGAGTGACCCCTGAGGTGTGTGATAAAGTGGCCGCAGAGGGGAGGGGCAGTCTGTGCCACAGAGGCGCAGGGAGCGCGGCTGAGCGCGGCCACGCAGGGAGCCTCAGCCGCCGCTAGGGAGAGGGCAGTGTCCACCGGGCCCTCCGCGGTCAGCCCACGGGTCCGGGCATGAAAGCTGGAAGCACCGCGTAGGAGCGCCTGGCTCCCGCTGCCGGCCGATGCGCAGGTGCCGGCCGGGCTCTGCGGCCTGGGAGACCCTGGTGCACCTCCTGGCTCCCGGCTCCGGCCTGGCCATGGCTGCTGCGGGCACTGGGGAGACCCAGCGGATGGAAGATCCCTCTCTCTCTCTCTCTCTCTCTCTCTCTCTCTCTGCCTTTCCGAGACACCGCGGACGGCTGAGAAGCCCTTGCACCGGCTCCGCGGACTGGGACCGCGCGAGTGTGGACCGCTTCCCCCGGTCGCGGCGTCGGGCTCCGCGGGCCGGGGCGGCCGCACCTCGCTCTCCGCGTCCGCACGGCGCCGGCTGCTCGGCCGGGCGCGTCCCGCAGACCCCGGGGGCGGCTCCCCGCCGTGCCCCGCCGGCCCCCCGCCGGCTCCCCGGCTCCCCGGCTCCCCGCCGGCCGGACCGAGCCCGGGGCGGCGGGGCGGGGCCGGCCGCGCGCTCCCATTGGCCGCAGGTGCGGCCGCGCCCGCGCGCAGGTAGACACCTCCGCGCCCGCCATTGGGCGGTGCCGCGGGGTCCCCCGGGGATTGGCCCAGGTGGCCGCCCCGCCTCGCCCTCATTGGCCGCAGGTGCCACCGCCCCCGCCCCGGGACCGCCCGCCCCGGACCGCCCGCCCCGCCGATTGGCCGGCGACTCGCCCGGGTCGGCCATATTCGGGACGGGCCGGAGCCCCGCGCGTCCCCCGCCCCCTGCGCGTCCCTGCCGACCGCGCCCCCGGCCCGCGCGAGTTCCGAGGACTTGGCCCGTCCGGCCCGGGACTCCGGCACCGCCCGCTGCGCTCCGCGCCCCGGCTCCGCCATGGCCCGAGGGCGCGGGACGCGGCGCTGACGGCGGCCAGCGGGGCGCGCCATGCCCAGCAGGGCCGGCCCCAAGATGGACGGGAGCGGCGGCCGCGTCCGGCTGAAGGCGCACTACAGCGGGTGAGCGCGGGGCCGTCGGGGGTCGGCGGGAGCGGGCCGGGGAGGCCTCCCGCGCGCGGCGTCCCGGTTGTTGGCGTTTGGCCGGGGAAGCGGACCGCGGGGCGGACAGGACGGACGCCCGTCGGCGGGGACCGAAGTTTCCATCCGATTCTGGAAGCGAGGGCGGGGTTTGCGGACTTTCCGCCGCGCACCGAGTTTGAAAGCCGGGCCGGGACCTCGCGGAGGCGCCACACACGGCCGAGGCCGCCTCGCTGCGGCCCGCGGGGCCCGGAGCGCCGTGAAACGGGGCGGGGAGCGGGAGCCGCCCGTGGCCAGCGAGCCGTCCGGCCCGGCCCCGGGAGCGCGGGACGCTTGGCCGCCGCCCTGGGCAGCCGCGGCGGGGGCTGCGCCCAGGTGCGGCGCCTGGCACTGCCGGAGGATCCTGGACAGCAGCCGGGGCCGCCCGCGGCTTCCCGCTAAGGGTCGGCCTCGGGTCCGGCACCCTCCTGGCCCCCACGGTGGCAAGCGGAGCCGCGGGCGCGGGCGCAGGCGGCAGGGCTGGCACCTGCGGATCTGGGTCTGGCCTCGGCAGTGCCCTGCCCTGGAGGACATGGGTCAGCTTCTGGCCTCAGGGTGGACGTTGGGGGTCTCCAGTGGGGACTCGGGGGGCTGGGGTTTCTCCTGCCCCCCGGCCTCCTGCCGTGCTGGCCTGGGAGGCCCCGGGCGTGGGTGTTGGTGGGGTTGGTGCCTTTGGTGCCAGAGCCAGAGGGAGCAGGATTTCTGGGAGACTGACCGGCCGGGCCCCTCCCCCAGAAGGTCTCAGCCCTGGCTGGTGGGGTGTCCGCCCGGGACGGAGGCCCCCGGCTCCTGGGTTCCGTGCTGGGTGCCCCCAGCCTCTCCCAGGCTGTCCAGGTCCATCCTGGCCAGGAGCCAACATTCTCAACAAGTGCTGCTCGGCAGTGCGGCCTCGGTGGGAGGGCGGGGGGCACCTGGGCTCTGACCCGGCGGACCCCCGGGCTCGGGGCTGGGCTGTTGGCCACCCCCTCCCTCTCTTTGGCCCCTGGGGAGGCTCCGGTTACTGGTGATGGGCAGGGAAATTCAACCTGCGCACTCTGGTTTCCCGGCTGAGGCGGAGCCCCTCGCCCGTCCTTCCTCCCCTCCCTTGCCTGCCCCTCTCTCTCCCTCCCTTTTCCTCTTTTCCCTCCCCCGCCCTTCCTCTCCCTCCTCTTCCTCTGCCTCCCTCCTCCCTCCCTCCATCCCCGCACCTGCCACGCAGACGGGAAGTTCTGTCCCCGGGGGGTGGGGGGGCCCTGAGGCCTGGCCAGGTTGAGGCCCTTCTTTGGAAGGGGCGTCCTCGGCCACCCCTTGCCCTTTGACCCCCAGGGCCTTTCCCTGTCAGACGGCCACCGGGAACGAGAGGGTCCCCGGGGAGGGCGCCAGGCTTCAGGACCCTGCTGCTGCCGGCCCTGCGTCCCCCCCAGCCTTCGTCCTGGGGCCCTGGGCTTGAGGAGCTGGGCCCAGGACGCAGGGGGGCAGGGAGGGCCCACCGGCAGCCCGGATGTCCCTGGCTGTGCCGCTGCGCCCTGGCGCCCGGAGGGGCTGCTTCACCCAGGCCTGGGAGGTGACTGGGCTGCGGTCCAGCCGCAGCTGGGCCCTGCCAGGCCCTGGAGTTTCTGACCTGACCTCAGGTGCGGGGCAGTGGGGTATGGGAAGCGGTCAAAGGTGAACCCCTAGGTCAGGCGGCCAGTGTGCGGGGCAGTGTGGGTGACCCCCACTGATGAGCCACACGACGGGCGCTGCCGCAGCACTGGGGTGGTCGTCCCCGTGACTGGGGGCTGCTGAGCAGAGGGACCCCGGGTGCCCGAGGCTCTGGGTGTGCTGCTCACAGAGCTGGGGTGTGCGTGAGCCGGGCTCTGGCTGGGCTGGGCACTGGGGGTGAAGCGAGGGTGGAGGACCTGCTGTCTTTCAGGTAAACAATAAGTGAGGACAGAGGGGCCTGTTGTAACCGAGGCCTCAGGGGGCCACGGGCAGCACCCCGCAGGCACCCCTACCCCACCACTGGGGGGCACCAGCAGGCATCCCACCCCTACCTCTGGGGGCACCAGCAGACACCCCCACCCCACCCCTACCTCTGGGGACACCATGCAGACACCCCCACCCCACCCCTACCTCTGGGGGCACCATGCAGACACCCCCACCCCACCCCTACCTCTGGGGACACCATGCAGACACCCCCACCCCGCCCCTACCTCTGGGGACACCATGCAGATGCACCCCCCGCCCCACCCCTACCTCTGGGGACACCATGCAAACACCCCCTACCCCAACCCCTACCTCTGGGGACACCATGCAGACACCCCCACCCCACCCCTACCTCTGGGGACACCATGTAGACACCCCACCCTGCCCCTACCTCCGGGGACACCATGCAGATGCACCCCCACCCCACCCCTACCTCTGGGGACACCATGCAGACACCCCCGCCCCACCCCTACCTCTGCGGACACCATGCAGATGCACCCCCCCACCCCTACCTCTGGGGACACCATGCAGACACCCCCCCACCCCGCCCCTACCTCTGGGGACACCATGCAGACACCCCCCACCCTGCCCCTACCTCTGGGGACACCATGCAGACACCCCCCACCCCGTCCCTACCTCTGGGGACACCATGCAGACACCCCCCACCCTGCCCCTACCTCTGGGGGTACCATGCAGACACCCCCACCCTGCCCCTACCTCTGGGGGTACCATGCAGACACCCCTACCCCACCCCTACCTCTGGGGACACCATGTAGACACCCCCACCCCTACCTCTGGGGACACCATGCAGACACCCCCACCCCACCCCTACCTCTGGGGACACCATGCAGACACCCCCGCCCCCACCACTGGGGGGCTGGGTCCGAGCCTTCCAGCGCCTGTGCTCGGAGACTGCTCGGAGACTCCTGGACCGCGAGCTCTTGGTGAGGCTGTGATTCCTGCTCAGGCCTGGCCTTGAGGGAATCCCCTCTGTCCACAGGTGGGGGCAGGAGGGGCGGGGCCGCTGTCCCCTTCACCGGGTGTCCAGTCCCGCCGTGGTGGCCGCCTCCGACCTGTTGGGTCACAGCTGCAGGCTGCCACCCGCCGTTCCCCCAGGGTCTGAGAATTCTGTCTCCAGTTGCTAATCAGAACCCCCCCCCCATTCATGCCCTGGGGTGTGGGAGGGGCTGCGGGTCCTTCACCTTAAAGAAGCCGGGGGCCTGCCCTCCCCATCCCCCGACGGTCACCTTTGGGCAGACGGAATCTGGGAGCCCAGCAGCAGCCACTGTCTGGATCCCTCCTGGGGGCGTGGGGGGCCTCCCTGACCTTTGCTCCCAGGAGATCTTTTTTCTCTGCATGGTGGAATTTGTGCTGTTAATTTTTAAACACTGCAGTCGGCTGGCGTTGCTGGTAAAGCCGCTGTCTGTGCCCATGGGCGCCGGTTCGAGTCCTGGCTGCTCCACTTCGATCCAGCTCCCCACTAAAGCACGTGGAAAAGCAGTGGAGGATGCCCAAGTGCTTGGGCCCGGCACCCACGTGGGAGACCTGGTGAAGCTCCTGGCCCTGGCTGTTGCAGCCCTCTGGGGAGTGGACCAGCAGGTGGAGCGCCCCCTCTGGCACTCTGTTTAGGACAGGGAGGGCTGTCATCTTGGGCAGAATTTTGTCTCGTGGATCTGAGCAACGATATGGCTCCCCGGGGATCCGCCTTTAGCCCCTGCGACGGGCGTCCGTGTTCTCTTTGCCCAGGGACATCTTCATCACCAGCGTGGACGCGGCCACCACCTTCGAGGAGCTCTGTGAAGAAGTGAGGGACATGTGCGGCCTGCACCAGCACCACCCCCTCACCCTCAAGTGGGTGGACAGCGAAGGTGCGGGCCTGCTTTCCCCTGGGCGCGGACATGCTGTGGGCTCCGTGCATGCCGTGGGCAGGTCGCCTGCTCCGTCCTGTGCTGGGCGTCCCTGGCAGGTGGCTCGGCGAGGGGAGCCCACCTCCCTCCCTTGCTCCCTCCCTCGCTGCCTCCTTTCCTCTCCCTCCTCTTTGTCTCCATCCCCCTCATGCAGTCAGACACCCATCCTAGCATCTGCGGAGTGGGGAGTCCGTCCAGGGTGGACCCCTTCCCATTGGCTGACTGAGGATGCACCCAAGTGGGCGGAGCCTTGTGGAAGCTGTGTCTCTGTGTCCAGCCTCATGGTGGCCGTGTCTTCCAGCCTCGTGGTGGCCGTGTCTCTGTGTCCAGCCTCATGGCGGCTGTGTCTGTCAGTGTCCAGCCTCATGGTGGCCGTGTCTCTGTGTCCAGCCTCATGGTGGCCATGTCTTCCAGCCTCATAGTGGCCATGTCTCTGTGTCCAGCCTCATGGTGGCCATGTCTTCCAGCCTCGTGGTGGCCGTGTCTCTGTGTCCAGCCTCGTGGTGGCCGTGTCTCTGTGTCCAGCCTCGTGGCGGCCGTGTCTCTGTGTCCAGCCTCGTGGCGGCCGTGTCTCTGTGTCCAGCCTCGTGGTGGTCATGTCTTCCAGCCTCATGGTGGCCGTGTCTCTGTGTCTAGCCACATGGCGGCCGTGTCTCTGTGTCCAGCCTCGTGGTGGCCATGTCTCTGTGTCCAGCCTCATGGTGGCCGTGTCTCTGTGTCCAGCCTCATGGCGGCTGTGTCTGTCAGTGTCCAGCCTCATGGTGGCCGTGTCTCTGTGTCCAGCCTCATGGTGGCCATGTCTTCCAGCCTCATAGTGGCCATGTCTCTGTGTCCAGCCTCATGGTGGCCATGTCTTCCAGCCTCGTGGTGGCCGTGTCTCTGTGTCCAGCCTCGTGGTGGCCGTGTCTCTGTGTCCAGCCTCGTGGCGGCCGTGTCTCTGTGTCCAGCCTCGTGGCGGCCGTGTCTCTGTGTCCAGCCTCGTGGTGGTCGTGTCTTCCAGCCTCATGGTGGCCGTGTCTCTGTGTCTAGCCACATGGCGGCCGTGTCTCTGTGTCCAGCCTCGTGGTGGCCATGTCTCTGTGTCCAGCCTCATGGTGGCCGTGTCTCTGTGTCCAGCCTCATGGCGGCTGTGTCTGTCAGTGTCCAGCCTCATGGTGGCCGTGTCTCTGTGTCCAGCCTCATGGTGGCCATGTCTTCCAGCCTCATAGTGGCCATGTCTCTGTGTCCAGCCTCATGGTGGCCATGTCTTCCAGCCTCGTGGTGGCCGTGTCTCTGTGTCCAGCCTCGTGGTGGCCGTGTCTCTGTGTCCAGCCTCGTGGCGGCCGTGTCTCTGTGTCCAGCCTCGTGGCGGCCGTGTCTCTGTGTCCAGCCTCGTGGTGGTCGTGTCTTCCAGCCTCATGGTGGCCGTGTCTCTGTGTCTAGCCACATGGCGGCCGTGTCTCTGTGTCCAGCCTCGTGGTGGCCATGTCTCTGTGTCCAGCCTCATGGTGGCCGTGTCTCTGTGTCCAGCCTCGTGGCGGCTGTGTCTCTGTGTCCAGCCACATTTGCTCTGGGTTCGTGGCTTGTCCTGCCCAGTGAGAGAGGGGTGTCCTTCCCTGCTGTTGTTGCTTCTGTCCTGCTCAGTGGTCAGCGAGGGGTGGACTTGTGTCCCATCTGGGGTTGGCTGGGTCTCACATGGGGGCTGTGGGCTGCGGCTGTCCGGGGACCGGTTTCGGGGTGGCTGAGCCACAGCAGCCGACTCTGGCCTCGCATGCCCCTGACCCCCAGCGGTGTCCTTGCCCACACAGGTGACCCTTGCACGGTGTCCTCGCAGATGGAGCTGGGGGAGGCCTTCCGCCTGGCCGGCCAGCACAGGGACGACGGGCTCATCCTTCACGGTGAGTGGCGGCCGGCGGGGGCGGGGGCTGCCCAGGTGGGCGCAGCTGTGCCTGGGAGCAGGGGATGGAGGAGGCGTGGAGACCTCACTTTAACAGAACTGCAGGTGCTGGGTCCGTGCCGTCCGGTTTGGGTTTTCTCCCGCCATCTTGGTACCGCAAGGGGAGCTCAGGGTCCCCGGAGAGTCCGGCTGGGTGCGGGCGGGGGTCCTGTGCCCTCCCTCGCTGGGCCCCTGCACCTGGCACCCCCACCCGTGCCCCTCCCCGGGCTCAGGCTGTCGGGCCGCCCGGCCTGCCTGCAGCTCTGGGATTGGGGTGGGGCCGGGGCCCCCCGCTCCTCTGTCTGCCCCTCGGCCTTCCTGGCATTCCGGTTTGCTGCTCTGCTTCCTGGGGGGGGGTCGCACGTGGCAACGGCTGCTGCAGCCACATTTAACCCTTTCTGAGCCCCGCCTTCGAGCATCCATCGTGCAGGCCGAGTGTTAGGTGCTTAGTGCTGGGTGCTCCCTGTGCAGGCTCAGTGAGTGTTAGGGTGCTTAGTGCTGGGTGCTCCCTGTGTAGGCTCAGTGAGTGTTAGGGTGTTGAGTTCTGGATACTCCCTCATGCAGGCTCAGTGAGTGTTAGGTGTTTAGTGCTGGGTGCTCCTTGTGCAGGCTCAGTGAGTGTTAGGGTGTTTAGTGCTGGGTGCTCCCTCGCGTAGATTCAGTGTCTGTTAGGGTGTTTAGTGCTGGGTGCTCCCTATGCAGGCACAGTGTCTGTTAGGGTGCTTAGTGCTGGGTGCTCCCTGTGTAGGCTCAGTGAGTGTTAGGGTGTTGAGTTCTGGATACTCCCTCATGCAGGCTCAGTGAGTGTTAGGTGTTTAGTGCTGGGTGCTCCCTGTGCAGGCTCAGTGAGTGTTAGGTGCTTAGTGCTGGGTGCTCCCTGTGCAGGGTGCTCCCTGTGCAGACTCAGTGTCTGTTAGGGTGCTTAGTTCTGGGTGCTCCCTCGCGTAGATTCAGTGAATGTTAGGTGTTTAGTGCTGGGTGCTCCCTTGCGTAGACTCAGTGAGTGTTAGGTGTTTAGTGCTGGGTGCTCCCTCGCGTAGATTCAATGTCTGTTAGGGTGCTTAGTTCTGGGTGCTCCCTCGCTAGACTCAGTGAGTGTTAGGTGTTTAGTGCTGGGTGCTCCCTGTGCAGCTCAGAGTGTTAGGTGTTTAGTGCTGGGTGCTCCCTGTGTAGGCTCAGTGTTAGGTGTTTAGTGCTGGGTGCTCCCTGTGCAGCTCAGAGTGTTAGATGTTTAGTGCTGGGTACTCCCTCGTGTAGACTCAGTGACTGTTAGGTGCTTAGTGCTGGGTGCTCCCTCGCGTAGACTCAGTGAGTGTTAGGTGTTTAGTGCTGGGAGCTCCCTGTGCAGCTCAGAGTGTTAGGTGTTTAGTGCTGGGTGCTCCCTGTGCAGCTCAGAGTGTTAGGTGTTTAGTGCTGGGTACTCCCTCGTGTAGACTCAGTGAGTGTTAGGTGCTTAGTGCTGGGTGCTCCCTCGCGTAGACTCAGTGAGTGTTAGGTGTTTAGTGCTGGGTGCTCCCTGTGCCGGCTCAGTGTTAGGTGTTTAGTGCTGGGTGCTCCCTGTGCCGGCTCAGTGTTAGGTGTTTAGTGCTGGGTGCTCCCTGTGCAGCTCAGAGTGTTAGGTGTTTAGTGCTGGGTGCTCCCTGTGCAGCTCAGAGTGTTAGGTGTTCAGTGCTGGGCTCTGCCCTGCGAGGGCAGAGCCGGAGTCTGGGGTGCGTGGAGATTCCTCCCTGTCCTGCGTTGCTGTCGCACCAGGGCTCCCCTGAAGGCGCCCCGGGACCCTCCCATGCTTTTGCCCTGAGGTTTCCGGGGGTCTCGGTCTCCCATCGGGGGTCTGGGCCGTCTGTGGACACTGACCTCTGTCTCCCTCCCCTGCAGTGTTCCCCAGCACGCCGGAGCAGCCAGGCATGCCGTGTCCCGGGGAAGACAGTGAGTGCCCCTGCCCCGCCCTGCTGCCCGCGAAGGCGGCGTGGCCCTCGCCCTGCCTGGAGCCTGGCGGGGCTGAGCCAGCGTCCGTGCCTGCGAGGATGTCGGAGGGCCAGTGCCGCGGGCCCGCGCTGGCTGCATGGGGAGTGGCCGGCCTGCTCCCTCGATGGCAAAAGTGCCGAGGGGCCTTGACCCGTGGGAGGGAACGGGTCAGCCTGGGTCGGTCGGACGCTGGCCACGCCCCTGCCTTGTCGTCACCAGGGCCTGAGTGGGGGCACCTTCCCTGGGGTGTGAGGGATGGGACGGAGGGGGCTTCTCGCCTGGGCAGGACCCGGGTTTTGCCTGTGCTGGCCTCCAGGGCAGACACCCACGCTGCCTGCTCGGCCCCCAGCAGGGGTTCCCCAAGCCCAGCTCCCAGTGGGGGCTGAGGGTCGCACAGAGGCCAGGCGAGGAGGAGTGTGGTGCCAGGGGAGGCCCCTGTGCCACCTGTGTGGGCAGCTTTTGGGTCCTTGCGTGTGGGCCTGGCCCTGTGACCGTTCAGTGTGCGTCGCCTACTGCTGGGACCCTGTGCTCCACGCGTGTGGCCGTCAGGGAGGGCCTGGGCACCGTGGGCCTGCTGCCAAGGTGATCTTGGTGGGGACACTGTCCCACCCCAGGGGGCTCCGTCACTCAGGCCGGGCCCCTGGAGGGAGGGATCCCCGCGAGTGGGGGTGGGGTGAGCCGAGGCAGGGAATGCAGAGCGCGTGGCCGAGCCTGCAGGAGGCGCCGTGGGCAGAGTGGGCCCTTGCGATGCCTTCCCAGGTGGCTGAGGCTGGTGTGGGGGCAGGCAGGCGTCTCCCTGCCCGTGGCCCCACTCCAGGCTCTGGCGTCCACCCACTGGGCACCCAGCAAGCAGGAGTGACAAACGGTGCCGGCGTGAGAGCCCGGCTCCGTTCTGCCGCCAGCGGCCCCGTGGACGGGGCCCTCCAGGTGTTCCCGGCTTCCTGTCCACAAGCAGCGCTGCCCAGGGCCAGGGGTCAGTGCGAGGGCCAGCCTGCTGGGGGGCGGCGCTCGCGAGGGCACCGGTGGAGGACGGTGGCAGCGGCGAGGGCTGAATACCGTCCAGCGCATTCTGCACATACTTCTCCCCTCACTTGAGAAGTGCCCTGGAGCGAGGTACGCGGCCGCAGCCACTTTAGAACACACACTCATGGCGCCTGGTCCACTCACGTGCCGTCTCCTCTGTCTGACTGTGTACCTGTGAGCCGGCCCAGCCCCGCACCCTCGGTACCGCATGTAAGGAGGACCCCAGACCCACAGTCTCAGCGTGGTCACCGTGGCAGCGGCTGAGTGAGGTCCCCCTGCTTGGCGGGACTTGGGCAGCGAGAGCCGCGTGGCGCTGGGCAGCGAGAGCCGCGTGGCGCTGGGCAGATGCTGCTCTGGACACTGTCGGCCTTGCTGCCCCTGTCCCTGCCTTCCACACTCGCTGCTTCCCACCAACACCCACCCTGGCGCTGCCTGTGGCTCTCGGCTGCCCGTGGCCTGTCCTCGGGGCTGGGCGTGGCTCTCGGCTGCCCGTGGCCTGTCCTCGGGGCTGGGCGTGGCTCTCGGCTGCCCGTGGCCTGTCCTCGGGGCTGGGCGTGGCTCTTGTCCTGGCAGGCTGCCCGTGGCTCTTGTCCTGGCAGGCTGCCCGCGGCTCTCGGGCTGCCCGCGGCTCTCGCGGCTCTGAGGTCAGTAGAGTTGGGCACCTTTCAGGCACTTCACGGCCGTTTGTTCATCCTCCTGGAGTAGCGTCTACGCAGGTCCTCTGCATGCAACATCCAGGCACTTTTTGATGACGTGAGGGGAGCGAGCGGGATCTTCCACCCCTGGGTGGGGCGGGACTGGGACCTCACTCACGTCTCCCATGGTGGGCAGGAGCCCCATCACACGCACCGCCACCAAGCCACCACCGCTGCGTCCAGGTCTGCAGGGCAGGGAGCCGAGTCGGGCACCAGGCCCCGCGCCCGGGGAGCCGAGTCGGGCACCAGGCCCCACGCCTGGGGAGCCGAGTTGGGCGCCAGGCCCCGCGCCCGGGGAGCCGAGTGGCACCAGGCCCCGCACCGGGACTCCCCGTGGGCCGCGGCGTCCTCACCAGCAGGCTGAGTGCCCAGCTGCTTTCCTGACAGCAAGTGCTGCCAGTTCTGTGAGTCCTTCAGAAAGTTCGCGGAAAATGGCGCTGAGAGATGCTCCCTTCGGTGCGCAGCGCCCCACTCCGCGCAGGTCCTCGCGCCGCGTGTTCTCCGCGAACTTTCAGAGACCCTCGAGTCCTGCGTGTTGAGTCCTTGCCCGACGTACGATGTTTTCTCTCCGTTACTGGCTGAATTTTTACTCTTAATAATACATTTTTAACGATTTATGTATTTATTTGAAAGGCAGAGTTACAGAGGCTGAGGCGTAGAGGCAGACAGAGGTCTTCCACCTGCTGGTTCATCTGGAGCCTCCTCCTGGTCTCCCACGTGGGTGCAGGGCCAAGCACTTGGACACCCTCCACTGCTCTCCCAGGCCACAGCAGAGAGCGGGATCAGAGTGGAGCAGCCGGGACTTGAACCAGCGCCCACATGGGATGCCGGCACCGCAGGCGACAGCTTTACCCACTGCACCACAGCGCCGGCCCCAGTAATGCATTTTAAAAAATTATTTACTGGGGCTGGCATTGAAGCACAGTGGGTTAAGCCGCTGCCCACAACGCTAGTGTCCCATGCTGGTTCAAGTCCCGGCTGCTCCACTTCCGATCCACATCTCTGCTGTGGCCTGGGAGAGCAGTGGAGGATGGCCCAAGTCCTTGGGCCCTGCACCCGCGTGGGAGACCTGGATGGAGTTCCAGGCTTCTGGCCTCGTCCTGGCCTTTGTGGCCATTTGGGGAGTGAACCAGCAGATAAAAGATCTCCCTCTCCCTCCCCCTCCCTCCGTCTGTAACTCCACCTTTCAAACAAACAAGTCTTTTTTTTTTTTTTTTTTTTTCCCAAAATATACTTGTTTAACTTACTTGGAAGGCAAAGAGACAGATCTTCCGGTCTGCCATCTGCTGGTTCACTCCCCATGTACCTACAAGCGCCGGGGCTGGGCCAGGCGGAGGCCTGGGGCTCGGCCAGGCTCCCATGTTGGGGGCAGGGCCCCCGGCACTTGGGCCACCATCTGTTGCCTCCCAGGGTTGGAAGCAGGCACTGGGATGTGGGTTGCAGGCGTGAGGGGCCACTGGCCTGCCACACCCGGCCACTGTCCTCTGGGGCCCTGTTGTGGGGTAGCTCTGTCCTCTGGGGCCCTGTTGTGGGGTCAGCTCTGCCTCTGGGACCCTGTTGTGGGGTCAGCTCTGTCCTCTGGGGCCCTGTTGTGGGGTCAGCTCTGTCCTCTGGGACCCTGTTGTGGGGTCAGCTCTGTCCTCTGGGACCCTGTTGTGGGGTCAGCTCTGTCCTCTGGGGCCCTGTTGTGGGGTCAGCTCTGTCCTCTGGGGCCCTGTTGTGGGGTCAGCTCTGTCCTCTGGGGCCCTGTTGTGGGGTCAGCTCTGTCCTCTGGGGCCCTGTTGTGGGGTCAGCTCTGTCCTCTGGGGCCCTGTTGTGGGGTCAGCTCTGTCCTCTGGGGCCCTGTTGTGGGGTCAGCTCTGTCCTCTGGGGCCCTGTTGTGGGGTCAGCTCTGTCCTCTGGGGCCCTGTTGTGGGGTCAGCTCTGTCCTCTGGGGCCCTGTTGTGGGGTAGCTCTGTCCTCTGGGGCCCTGTTGTGGGGTCAGCTCTGTCCTCTGGGGCCCTGTTGTGGGGTCAGCTCTGTCCTCTGGGGCCCTGTTGTGGGGTCAGCTCTGTCCTCTGGAACAGCACCGTCCTCTCCGCTGGACGTTGCTGGCACACCTGAGGGGCCCTGAGGGTTTACGTCTGGGCCCTGTCCTGTCTCCGTGGCTGGCCTGTCCGTCCGTCTCTACGGCAGTGCCACACTTCTGATTGTTGCCTTTGTAGTGAATTCTGGCACCAGGACCTGTGGGTCTTCCAGCTTTGTGCTTTTCCGGGAATGTTTCCCGCACAGGTCCCGGCGGCGGCCTTTCTGAGACGGGGTTGGCTGGATCTGCCGCCGGGCCCGTCTGGGCAGCTCTGCGCCGGCAGCCGGGGCCGGGGCCTGTCCCGCTGCCCTCTGTCCACGCTCCTGCGGCGTCTCTCACTGCTTGTCCTGAGTGTCGTCCCCCCCCCCCCCCCCCCCGGCTGATTCCTGAACATTTTGTTCTGATGCTGTCGTAGGTGGGATTGTTCACGGTTGATGCGCAGACATGCAGCTGATAGAAACAGTTTTTTGAGGGGCCGAGACACGAGAGGGAGGGAGACAGGCAGGAAGAGGAGCCTCTGTCCGCTGGTCCGCCCCCCGGACGTGTGCAGCAGCAGGGCTGGGCCGCCGGGGCGGCAGAGACGCACGTTAGCAGGAAGCTGGCGCTGGGAGCAGAGCCGGGACTCGAACTCAAGCCCTCGCGTGTGGGACACAGGCGGCCAGGGCGCGGCCCGGCAGCGGGTCTCTGTGCCGAGCTCATGTCCTCGTGCTGGGCTGCGGCTGCCTGCGTTTACGATTGTGCCGTCTGTGAACAGAGACGATTTCACGTCTCCTCTCCCGTGGCCTGTGTGCGTGGACGTGGGAGGGCCAGCGTCCTTGCCTGCCCCCGGGCGGCTGGGGGCGCCTTGTTTCTGAGGGTTTCCCTCAGGAGGGCGCTGGGTTCTGCTGGGTGCCCGTGTGGGTGCCCCCCTTTGCCCTGCCATCCAATGTCCTGCGTCGATGGACCTTGCGACCCACGAAAGTGCCACGTGGCTGTGGCGTGCCTCCGTAACGTGGCATCACGTTGGCTTCGCTCCTGATCCGTGGGGAGCCGAGGCGTTGGGGTTTTGCAGTGTGAATGGGGTCAGCGTCGGCCGCTCCGAGTGTTGCTGAACGCGCCCACGGGGCTGCCTGGCCAGGGCGTCTCCGCCGGCCGGTCTCAGGCCTGCCCGGGTCTCCGAGCGCCGGTCCCGGTCGATC